CCCTCCCCCGGTATGACAGTCTCTCTCCCTCCCCCGGTATGACAGTCTCTCTCTCTCCCCCGGTGTGACAGTCTCTCTCTTTCCCCCGGTATGACAGTCTCTCTCTTTCCCCCGGTATGACAGTCTCTCTCTTTCCCCCGTACTCCGGTGTGTTGCCCGCACTCACCTAGGCCGCACCTCCCTAGCGGTATGGCCTTGCTCTGGATCGGGGACGGCCTGCTGAACCCCGCGGCCTCCAGTCCCTCCAGCACGGGCCGAGATAGGAGCAGCGAGTGGAAGTCCGGAGCTTCCCCGGGTCCTTGCAGCACATCGCCGGTCCGAGGCCGAGCTCCCAGCGTGTGCGCCGCCATCTTCCCGTCACCAAGGAGATGCCGGGACAACAAGCAAAACTTTATTGTTCACTGACAGCGTAACAAAGCCTAACCTGCTGCGGGCTCGGTGTTTAGCTCGCACAGCTTACACCACTGCGGGCAAGCTGTGACGGACTACACTCCACAGAATGCTCAGCCAGCCACACTGTCAGCTGAGCATCATGGGACATCGTGTTTCAGCAACACGTGGAGACTGAGTCTGTCCATCCCAGCTCACAGACAGACAGACAGACAGAGCACAGTATAAAGCTATCATTAGCCCCACTGACACAGACTGAGCTACAATGGGACAGGGCTATTCAATACAGTGGGCAACACTCATTGTGCTTTTCATTTTTAGGTCAAAATTTGGAGACTTTTTCCATTTTTAGCTGGCAGAAATCCTAACAATTGACACTAGTGAATAACCCAGTTAGAGTAACCTGTCACTTCTGAGCATTTCACAAAGATAGAAGAAGAATATTTATGTAAAGCTCTTACTGTCTGTGTTTTTGATATGACAAAGTATATGTAGAGCATCAAAGGTTTTCATTACTTCAAATGCTTCTTTACAAGAAGAATGATGAATGTGGAATTCTTTACCTTAAAGGACCACTCTAGGCACCCAGACCACTTTAGCTTAATGAAGTGGTCTGGGTGCCTGGTCCAGCTAGGGTTAACCCATTGTTTTATAAACATAGCAGTTTCAGAGAAACTGCTATGTTTATAAATAGGTTAATCCAGCCCTCAAATCCTCTAGTGGCTGTCTCACTGACAGCCACCAGGTGCTTTTCGTGATTCTCAGTAAAATCGGCTGTTCATACATTGTAAATGCTTCCTATGAGACCGGTTAATGCGCTGCTGCAGCTCTCACTGACAGTCGCTAGAGGCGCTTGCGTGATTCTCACTGTGAAAATCACAGTGAGAGCACGCAAGCGTCCATAGGAAAGCATTGTAAATGCTTTCCTATGAGACCGGCTTAATGCGCGCGCAGCTCTTGCCGCGCGTGCGCATGGGAGCCGCATATCTCATTCAGCCTGCACCGTGAGCAGGGCTGCCATCAGAAATTTTGGGGCTCCCTAAACAGCTCAGGCCTGGGCCTCCAGCGTTCGACCCTGAGTTCACCCACAATTCCCACACCCCAGTCAGCCCACAAAGATAAGTAAAAAGTGTGTGTGTGTGTATATGTATATATATATATATATAGGCAGTGGTGTATCCTGATTTTGTGCTGCCCTAGGCAGGACAAAACTCAGGCACCCCCTCCCCCCGCTTTGTAAAACTTTGTAAAAGTTAAAGGGACACTATAGTCACCAGAACAACTACAGCTTAATGTATTTGTTCTGGTGAGTATAATCATTTCCTTTAGGCTTTTTGCAGTAAACACTGTTTTTCCAGAGAAAGTGCAGTGTTTTCACTACAGCCTAGTGATACCTCCACTGGCCACACCTCAGATGGCTACTAGAGGTGCTTCCTGGGGCAGTGATACACAGTGTGCAGCACTGCCATTCAGTGTCTCCTCCCTCTGCATGCAGACACTGAACTTTCCTCATAGAGATGCATTGATTCAATGTATGAATGGCCAGGGCTGTGTTTGGCTTGTGCTGACTCTGACCCAGATCTACCTCCTTGACAGTCTAAGCCAATTCTATTGGAAAGTATTATGATTTGCTCAGAACACCATTTCTGATGATGTCAGCCTTGCAGGCAGATCAGGGGCAGAGCCAGCAGCAGACTGCAATAGAGGTAAGAGTTTGCTATATTTGGGGGTGCAGGAGGGCTAGATGGTGTTTTTAACAAGAATACATGTTTGTGTTCCAATCCTGACCCTATAGCGTTCCTTTAAGTTTTACTTTAAACCACACTCCTTGGAGTGCTCTCATTTGAGCAGTACTGGACATATGTGTGTGTGTGTGTGTGTGTGTGTGTGTGTGTGTGTGTGTGTGTATGTATATATATATATATATATATATATATATATATATGTTTTATTCCCCCTCTCTTCCTCTTACCTGTGGCAAGGGAGTGGGGACATTACAGTCCCTGCTGGTCTGGTGGCACAGTGAAGGATCCTGCTTGCTTTTATAGTGAAGAGGGGGCCCAGGAGACTCCATCTTCCACTTCCGTCAAAACTGACAGATATACTGACATGAACACACATACTGACAAACACTGACACACACAGACATACTGACACACACACAGGCATACTGAAACACACAAACAGACATAGGTACACACACAGCCATGCTGAAACACACACATGCAAAGACAGACATACTTAGACACACACAGACATACTGACACACACACATGCAGAGACAGACATACTAAGACACACACAGACATACTGACTGAAACACATACACACACAAACAGACATAGGTACACGCACACACAGACACCCTGACAGACATACTGACACACACACACATAGACAGACATACTAAGACAAACTGACGTACTGATAAACACAGACAGAGACATACTGACATACACAGACAGATATACTTCAGAAGGGTGACTTCCCTTGGGTTCAGATATATGTTCCCTGGGACACTTCAGATATATGTTCACCCAGTGGCTCACTCCTCCAAAGATAATGTTGAAAAAGCAAAACTATGTAAAACATAGCTGGACAGAAGAAATATGAATAATAACTGATAATAAAATATAGGAAATTAAGTCATAGATTGGGCTGAGGTGCAGTATTTAATAGGACTAGAGTTGCCATCTGGCCAGTATTTTACCAGCACAGCCGGTATTTGAGGCTGTGTAGTTTGTGCTGGTATTGCAAAAATACCGACAAATGCAGGTATTTTTTCCTAACAGGAGAATATTCTGCAATACCGGCACTGGCCATTATGGTGTGCACTGTTCTCACTCTGTGTGGAAAAAGCAGAGATAGGAAGTTACAGCATATTCCCGCCTTTCCCACTGACAGAATCCGCATGGGAGCCACTAATGCAGCAGCTCACAGCCAGTTTCAGGAGTCTACATGTTAGGTAAGCTAAATGAGGGGTGGGGGAGAGACACAAGTGGAAGGATAGGTTAGGATGTATGGGTGGCATAGAAAGAGACACAGTTGGGGGTAGCATGGAATGACATAGATTGTAGGCAGTGTGGAAACAAACTGCCCAATGGGGTGGCATAAAAATGAAGAGACACATGGGGATGGCATAGAAGGAGAGACGCACGGGATGGCATGGAAGGAGAGACACATGGGGATGGCATAGAAAGAGAGACATATATCTATTTCTATGCCACCACTGTATATAACACTAAGTCATTCTGAGGTGTTTTTTTGTTTTGTTTTTTACTAAGCAGATGTTTGTGGTGTAATTTAAAAAATGAAGATTTGCAAAATTCAAGCAATAAATAGCCATACTTGGGACTATAGCAGAACTGGACAAATTTATAAATCAGCTACTTTGGCCTAAACTTTTGTAGTTTGTTTTCTAGTTTGGTACACTGAATAGGGAATACGGTAAATCACAGAGGGTTATTCCCTAAACTGTGTAATGTAGTGCATTGACATATAAATTGCACAAAATAGGCAAAAATAACTGATTTGGTAAAAATCTCCAATTCAGCATAGGCACAGATTGGCTAATTTAAAGTACATTTTGTAACTTGGAGTGTAATTCATTTCATATTGGTGTTTAGTAAATAAACCCACTGTGTATTTGTTTATGTATATTTTGCCATGATGCACGCAGTGCTGGGACACAGAAAGCCTGCTGCTGGGTACATTGAGTGAGCACCAAACTGCACTGCAATCCCTCAATACAGCAAAATGGAATTGTACGTAGGTTTTTATCGAACTATGGAATTTTCCTCTTACAATGTATTTTTCTTTCCTCTTATGTCTCCATGTGATGTCATGTCCTCTGCAAATTAGCATGGTCGGTATTTGTTTCCAAGAATGGTGGCAATCCTAAACAGGACTCTGTGTATCTATACCTTATATTAAGCAAATCTGTGTTTAAAAAAAGGCAATGAAGCAAGGAAAAAAACGTATCTTTACTAGGACAATTATAATGGAGGATAAAATAGAGGAAAGTAAAACTGAGATTGCAGATCTGACCACTCTTTCAGTTAATGGGAGCAGCCGTGTCTCACATAGGCATAGCAGGAGGAGGAGATACCTCATTGGGAGACCGGACAGCATCAGCAGAAACTCTGGGCCATCTTGCAGCATTTAGCTACCATGCTGGAGACGCTTTATGAACGTGGACTATATAGACAACAAGGTCTGCCACTGTGGGTCCCTTTCCAAATGACTACCCCAGGTGTCTCTAGACTTCACAAATAAAATCTAGTTATCTGTCAGTAGAGCTATGAGATAGGAATTCAAACTGGACATCAAAGGCGCAATAAAGAGCTGTTAGCCTGTGTAGCTCAATGATCGTAAATTATTAACAGAGAGGATTTGCTAATCATCCTGTGTGGAAATATATCACCTCCAAGGAGCTCATGCTCTCCTCCACCAATGACTGGCTCATCTGTAGCAGCATCTCCCCACCATGATGGCTTTTGAACACATTTAAATCAAAAGAAGTGGTTTCCCACGTGGATAATAGGAAGACACGAAAGCACACCTTAGCCCAGTGTAGCAATATGTTTACAATGCCCCCTCACTGCAAATGAAAAAGATCCATCTACATGCAAAACATTGAAACTCCAACATGCTGATTGAACCAGAGAATTATCAACACTCTGATCCAAACTTTCTTAACCATTGATTGTTTAGAGAATAGTGATTGTTATAACTGCAAATTAAAGTATTAATAAATCAATAAATTAACCTATATTATAGGCTAAATGCTTAATGTTTTCTTGTGTATTTTGTGACCAGGTAAATGAGTGTTAATTTTGGTGACAATTTAATGTTTTATACTAAAGATACACTGTAGTAAACATAACCTCTTTAATAATCCTTTTAAGGGTCTGATTCTCTCAAATACATTGAGTGTCCAATAGAAGTGAAAGCATTTGTGTTATTCTACTCAGCTACTGTAATGACTGTCAGGGTTATTCATTAAAGGACCAGTATAGGCATCCAGACTACTTCACCTTAATGAAGTGGTCTGGGTGCCAGGTCCAGCTAGGGTTAACCCTTTTTTTTTTATAAACATAGCAGTTTCAGAGAAAGAGGTAAGTTTAACCCCTTCCTCTCCCCAGAGCCCGGCGGGAGGGGGACCCTGAGGGTGGGGACACCCTCAGGGCACTATAGTGCCAGGAAAACGAGTATGTTTTCCTGGCACTATAGTGGTCCTTTAAATTGAAAATTCAAAGTGAATTTCAAATATAAATGAACGCAATAGTGTTAATGTCCCACCCTCAGTGTAAGGGTTTGAAAGGTGAGTTTTATTTTACCTTTCAGCACTAACCACACCGTTATCTATGATGCCATGCCACTTATTTGGGATCATCAGTGTATTAAATGATCTCAGGGAATCCAATGTCAAATCGTTGTAACTACTGTTAGACTACTTACAGTGGAGGGAGCCAAGCCACTGCTGGCACCATAACCACTTTAGTGATTTACAGTGGTTATGGTGTCAGCAGTGTTCTAGTAATATATTTATGTAATCAGGATTATAAAAACATTAAACTCCAGGCCCATGAGGCCCTTAACCAGGCTTGCCACTGTGGAGTCACAATTGAAAATCACGTAAAATTTGCTTTTTTGCCTTCTTTTCGATGAACAGCATAAATGGATATGTGGAAGGAGGAAGTTGATGGACTTGAGTTCCGTGAGGTCTACCCTGATTAATAATATCACATACTATCACAAAAAACAAAATGGTTAATTACTTAACAGTAAATTGCGTGGAACTGAAAACTGAATTGCAAACTAAAGGCTGAAATAGCTGCGTTGTAAAAATGCTCCAAGTCAACAATTTTTCCAGGTTTCAAGAACTAACCTAGGGAAAACCAATGCTTTCTGTTGATTTCCATAATGATTTTTCCATTTTAAAAATGGCATGATTTTTAAAGTAAGCCTCTGCTATATTTCTAAGCACTAAGGTGAAAAGAAGGCATTTCTGTTAAGCAAATATCTATTGGCGGCAGATATTGCAATCGAATAGAAAATTTTGTGAACATGCAAATTTTAGGAAAGAATAGCTGAAATTGTAAAATTCACCAGTTCTGCTATTTTTCCAACTTGCCAATTTTGCCCTAAATTGCGAAATGTGTTTTTAAGTCATCAGTACGTTGTCTGGTAATTAAGCCCTATTGTGTACAAAATTATTATTGTAGAGAAAAACATGAGTCTGTCACATTACCAGTAGCACAGCTGTCTTTGACTTTCTATATATCTGGAAATCCAGCTTTAATTGTATTTATACTCTGCTAGTTTTTGCACATCGTGTCTCTGAGGAGTAAAAAAAAAATGATACCTCTTCAGGGTGGACTAATTTAATGCTTGAAGTTTAATTAGCGCTGTCTGGCAGCCTTAGAGGAGGATGTAAAATGTTTTTGTGGTTGCACCCAGCAGGTAGAAAAAGAAGAAGAGTCTTAACATATTTTGCATGTACACTTAGAGGAAGGATTAATTTATATGTTCAATTACTATATAATATTCACAGAATTTTAGCTTAAAAATGAACAGGATTAAAAATATGTAGAAATTGCTGCCGACAACTAAAACGCTGAGTTCCTAATCTATGCTTTATAATAAGAGACAACAATAGCTTTTTCCAATTCCATCTGCAGATATAAATAGTGCTCACCATGATACAGTTATATATGTTTCTGAATTTATATATTATATAGCAAAATATTTAGAGAAATTGTGATGATTATGATTTATAAAGCAGCAACATATTTTGCAGTTCTATAGGATGTGGCTGCATACGCTAATTGAGACTGAACTGGGTATTGGCTTGTGTAAATAAGATTTGGAGTGTAGGTAATAATGATTAATAACAATGAAATGGCCCTTTAATGTGTGTGTGTGTGTGTGGGTGTGTATATATATATATATATATATATATATGCATATATATATATATGTATAGTTCTTACTGTATTCATTCCATACTGCTTATTTAATTAGGTCATATGATGAATATATTGAAAATAAAAAAAATTCACATATTTTATATTAATTGAAGTGTTAACATTTTGAATAGTTAATTACTGTATTTTTTTCATGTTTAAGACTTTGTTTTTTCCCCAAAAATATTTTAGTCTAAAATTGGGCGGCATCTTATACATGAAATGTCATTGCAGGGGTTAAAAAAAGAAAAAAAAAGACTTGTGTGGGGGGCCTAAGTTAAGATGGCGCATGTCGCATTTCAGTGTGCCACGGCCCACACACATATCTGGCCTCCCTCTCACCGATCCACTTCTATATGCTGTGTCAAGGAGGCAGAGGTTCCTATATACATGGGAGCTGCAGCAGACATCAGCACTTACCACCAACGGAGTGCATGCTCCATGGGTATCTGAGTGTCTGTGTGTGTGTATGTGCCAGTGTCAGTATCAGAGTGTGTGTGTGTCTGCCAGTGTGGATATATAAATGTGTGTGTGTGTGTATGTGCCAGTGTGGGTATGTGTGTATGTGCCAGTGTGGGTATCTGTGTGTGTCGAGGTGTGTGCATGTGTCCGTGTGTTAATAGTGTGTGTAAATAGTTGCAATATGCTGTGTGTAACTGGGTGGGGGTGGCTCTTGTGAGGGGTGCAGCCAACTCACTGAAATTAGTTTTGGGATGTCTGGAGGCATGAGAATTAGAAGTGTGTTGTTCTCCTCAAAAGTCAACTCTAAAATATCAAAGTTGTTCTATTTGATCTTTAAAAAATAGATTTCTTAACTTTGGGCTAAAAAAATAGGGGTCATCTTATACATGGGGGCGTCTTACACACTTTGCCTATGGCATTATTTAAAACTTGCTCTTGTAATAATGGTTCTTGCTTTATGTTTCTAGTGAGCTAGGCTACATTTGTATGAAGCTTCATCAACAAAACTGATAAAAATAAGATAGCTTGGATAAATATACGTGAACTAAGACAAAGGTCCTTTGTTGATATGGACCCAAATAAGTTACATTGAATTTTTTTCTCTGACCCATTCTTCAAATGGAAAATTAATTCAGTAACCCATTCCTGAAATTGAAACGGTTACTGCAACCACCATGACCGCTTCAGTGATTTGCAGTGGTCATAGTGCTAGGAGTCTGGAAGTGCAGTGGACTAGTTGCATGTGTTCTGTGCTGCCTCATGTAAATTCTGTGCATATTTTACTTCAGTTGTCAGTGTGCACCTCCTCCTGGTGACAGACATAATAATCTTCTCCCTTTCACCTTCTTCCGGTGCTTGTATTTTTGTTTTTTTTATTAAGAATTACACCCTCCTCACTCCCTTTGCAAGCTCACTCCGCGAGGACCTTCTAACATTAGATGGAGGAGAGAGATCAGCGCTGGGAGTTTTGTCCAGCACCTGATTTTAGGTAAGTTTTAATTGCATTTTTTCAAGTTTCGGGAGTGAAGGGACCTATTGGCAATGCCCAGAAAAACATTCTGAGCCTAAAAAGGCAAACTGTGTTAAAGGTTTGATATAATTTGATATAGACTAAATAAGTTGTATAAAAATAAAAAAACGTAATTTTGCTCCTCTCAATTCGTAAAAGGTCTGCAATGTAATGTTATAGCTATCTACAGTGGTACCTCGGTTTACAACTTAATGCGTTTTCTGGGACATTTCTTATTGCGAATAATTTGTAAACCGAAATGTGGTTTCCTATAGGAATGCATTGAAAACCAATTCATCCATTCTGCGACCCGGTATGTACCCACAGGGCCAGCCTCTTCCCCTGGGGGGCCCAGGAGCCGACCACCCCAGGGCCCCCCGAGGCTGGCCCTGCTGACACCCAGCAGGCGGGTGGCCGGTCGGGCAGGCGCGCAAGGGAGCACTCAGTGCTTCCTCTTCAGCTCCCTCGCGCACTGCACTGATACCGGAGCCGGAAGATGACGTCATCTTCCGGCGCCGACATCCCTACGTGGCGCGCGAGGGAGCTGAAGAGGAAGCACTGAGTGCTCCCTCGCGCGCCCGCCTGCCTGCCCGACCGGCCACCCAGACTGCCCGCCCAGGAGCCCAGCAGCACCACTGGACCCCAGGGAATCCCCCCAGCACTCCAAAAGGTAAGGAGGCTGGGGGGATTAAATTTAAAAAAAACAAAAAACTAGTGTTAGTGTTTGAGTGTGTGTGTGTGTATGTTAGAGTGAGTGTTAGTGTGTGTGAGTTCTAGTGAGTGTTAGTGTGAGTGTTAGTGTGAGTGTTAGTGTGAGTGTTAGAGTGAGTGTTAGTGAGTGTTAGTGTGTGTGAGTGTTAGAGTGAGTGTTAGTGTGTGTCTGCTAGTGAGTGTTAGTGTGTGTGAGTGTTAGAGTGAGTGTTAGTGTGTGTGTCTGCTAGTGAGTGTTAGTGTGTGTGAATGTTAGAGTGAGTGTTAGTGTGTGTGTCTGCTAGTGAGTGTTAGAGTGAGTGTTAGTGTGTGTGTCTGCTAGTGAGTGTCAGTGAGTGTGTTACTGTGTGTGTCTTACTGAGTGTGTGTGTTAGTGAGTCTGTTTGATGTCTGTTAGTGAGTGTGTTTGTCAATGAGAGTGTATGTCTGCGCTGACTGTGTCTCTGTCAGTAAATGTGTGTGTCTGTTAGCTAGTGTGTATGCGTCTGTAAGTGTGTGTGTCTTCAGCACTTACCTTTCTCCAGCGCCGGACTCCCTTGGCGCTGGGGATCCCTCAGCCTCTCAGCTCCGAATGCGACCGCGCACGCATTCAAACCGCCCATAGGAAAGCATTACTCAATGCTTTCCTATGGACGTTCAGTGTGCTCCTCTAGCGGCTGTCAGTGAGACAGCCACTAGAGGCTGGATTAACCCTCAGTGAAACATAGCAGTTTCTCTGAAACTGCTATGTTTTCAGCTGCAGGGTTAAAACTAGAGGGACCTGACACCTAGACAACTTCATTGAGCTGATGTGATCTGGGTGTCTGTAGTGGTCCTTTAACCCCTTAAGGACCAAACTTCTGGAATAAAAGAGAATCATGACATGTCACACATGTCATGTGTCCTTAAGGGGTTAAAGGACCACTATAGTGCCAGGAAAACATACTCGTTTTCCTGGCACTATAGTGCCCTGAGGGTGTCCCCACCCTCAGGGACCCCCTCCCGCCCAGCTCTGGAAAGGGAAAAGGGGTAAAACTTACCTTTTTCCACCGCAGGGCGGGAGCTCTCCTCCTCCGATCCTCGTCTTCTCCTCCCCGTCGGCTGTATGCGCACGCGCGGCAAGAGCTGCGCGCGCATTCAGCCGGTTTCATAGGAAAGCATTCATAATGCTTTCCTATGGACGCGCGTGCTCTCACTGTGAAAATCACAGTGAGAAGCACGCAAGCGCCTCTAGTGGCTGTCAATGAGACAGCCACTAGAGGAATAGGGGAAGGCTTAACCCATTCATAAACATAGCAGTTTCTCTGAAACTGCTATGTTCATGAAAAAATGGGTTAACCCTAGCTGGACCTGGCACCCAGACCACTTCATTAAGCTGAAGTGGTCTGGGTGCCTAGAGTGGTCCTTTAAGTGTGTGTGCATCTGCATGCACTGGCGTACATACCGCGGTCGCAGCCCTGTAACCCCTGCGACCAGGTGCCCACCGCCATGTGTTGCGGCCCGGCCCGCGTGCAGGGGGGGGGGCCACAGATCAATTTTCGCACCGGGGCCCCATGGGTCATGTGTACGCCACTGCGTGTGGCCGTTAGAGCGTTGCCATGGGTTACCATTGCAACTCTCCGCACGGCGTGCACACCACATCTCGCAGGAGTGAGAGCGAGGGAAATGCTGTAAAGTACAGCTGCAGTCTGCTGGGCCCACAATGCCACCGGACCACCAGGGATCATGGAATCTTCCCCCCTCCCTGAACCAGGTAAGAAACAGGGAGGGGGGAATAACAGTTATTACATTTACATGCATACACTACTAAACAAACACACACACACTGTATTCATTACACTAACACACACACTGCATCCACTACACTAACACACACACTGCATCCACTACACTAACACACACACTGCATCCACTACACTAACACACACACTGCATCTACTACACTAACACACACACTGTATCCACAACACTAACACACACTCTGCATTCACTACACTGACACACACACTGCAGTCATTACACTGATACACACTCTGCATTCACTACACTGACACACACTCTGCATCCACAACACTAACACACACACTGCATCCACTACACTAACACACCCTGCATCCACAACACTAACACACACTCTGCATCCACAACACTAACACACACTCTGCATCCACAACATTAACACACACTCTGCATTCATTACACTAACACACACACTGCATTCACTTCACTGACACACACACTGCATCCACTACACTGACACATACTCTGCATTCATTACACTAACACACACTCTGCATTCATTACTGACACACACTCTGCATTCACTACACTGACATACACTCTGCATTCATTACACTGACACACACACTGCATTCACTACACTGACACACACTGTGCATTCACTACACTGACACACACTGCATCCACTACACTGACACACACTGCATTCACTAAACTGACACACACACTGCATCCACTACACTAACACACACTCTGCATTCATTACACTGACACACAGTCTGCATTCGTTGCACTGACACACACTGCATTCATTGCACTGACACACACACTGCATTCATTGCACTGACACACACACTGCATTCATTACACTGACACACACACTGCATTCATTACACTGACACACACACTGCATTCATTACACTGACACACACACTGCATTCATTACACTGACACACACTGCATTCATTGCAGGGGGAGGCCAGCCAGGCGAGGAGGCGTGGGGGGCCCAGACCTTGTGCTTTGTCAGAGGCCCCAAAATTTCTGGTGGCGTCCCTGACTGAGGCAGCGCTATAAACCTCCCAGGCGCAATGCATCCTGGGAAAATTTGCTTTGTATTGTGAAATTTTTTTGTAAACCGAGGCATTATTTTTAATGTTTTTGATTTTCATTTGTAAACTGAAAATTATGTTAACCAAGGCGTTTTCTAAAGTGACGTACCACTGTAATTATTGAAGGTAGTTGATTGGGCTTAATGAACATGTGGTACCTTTTACAACTAATGGGTAATTCAATGAATTTCAAGTATAAGGTCAAAATAGCTGAATTGGAAGTAATCACCAAGTCAGTTATATTTTCAGTTTGGGTAATTGGGCCCCAAATTTTTTTTTTTTTTTTTTTATTGGTAAAGAGATTTATTTTATAAAGGAAAGTGATGGCGTTCAACCACTGGTCTGCTTGGCTGCAAGTCTCTTGTCTCTTTCCTCGGCAATGGTCAGGCGGATACCCTTTCCACGAGGCAGTGAGATCCATGGCTTGTTACCTTTTCCAATGACAAAAATGTTAGACAGCCTGGTGGCGAAGCCGTTACCGTTGGCATCCTTCACATGGACCACATCAAATGAGCCAGGGTGCCTCTCTCTGTTGGTGATGACACCAACACGACCCAAGTTGGCTCCTCCAGTCACCATACACAGGTTTCCTGTATCAAACTTTATGAAGTCTGTGATCTTTCCAGTTTCGAGGTCAATCTGGATAGTATCATTGACCTTAATCAGAGGATCTGGATAACGGATGGTACGGGCGTCGTGTGTTACCAAGTGAGGGATTCCTTTAGTTCCTACCCAGGTCTTCCTCACTTTGCAGAGCTTGTACTTGGCCTCTTCGGCTGTGATCCTGTGGACGGCAAACCGACCCTTGGTGTCATATACCAGACGGAAATGTTCACCAGTCTTCTCAATGCTGATGACATCCATAAATCCCGCTGGATATGTAATATCTGTTCGGACTTTGCCATCGATCTTAATGAAACGTTGCATGCAAATCTTTTTGACCTCGTCACCAGTCAAAGCATACTTCAATCGATTCCTTAGGAAGATGATGAGGGGCAGACACTCGCGGAGCTTGTGGGGACCAGTGGATGGACGAGGTGCAAAGACACCGGTCAGCTTATCCAGCATCCAGTGCTTGGGAGCTGCAACACGCTTCAAATGCTTCTTGGGTCCACGAGCCATGGCTGCGTCTGCAATGGAAAGGCCCCCAATTTTTTAATGAATTCAGTTTTAAATCTCACTTGAGTAATTTACCCTGAGAGATGTCATTGTAATAATAATAATTATCATGTTGAAATAATCATTACCTCCAGCAGAGGGCAGTACGGCAGCATGAGAAAGAGGTTTGTGAGCAGAACATAAATATTTGTGTGGCAATTTTAAGTACGATTGATTTTAAGATTTTATTTTACTCCTTTCTTTAAACAGAAAAATGTGTTAAAAGTATTCATCTCTTATTTTAATAGTAAATATTTGAAAGCTAAATGTGAATAAATCATATCAATATTATATTGTAAAAGTAAAAGGTGTGTATACGTACAAGATTATATAGATAGAAAAACACAAAGACGTTCCTTGATCTTTGGGTATAAGATGCACTCCCAGAGAATCTCTTGAACCTGTATATATTGAATATGTTACAGAACAGACTTGACAGTGGCCTAGTGATGAAACCGCAATCTTGGGGCTTTCCGGGCTGGAACACTGTAACCCAAAAAGGGTGCACACCAGAGGCTAGTCTCAAGGGAATTCTAGAACTATGGCACTGTGGCACAAACTATCCCTGGGACAAATAATTTTTGGTATTACTAGCACCAGGAAGCCAGCACCAAATTGGGAGAGTGAATTTAGGACACTTCACTTCTTCACAACAGCCTTGTCCTGAATGGCTGCCTATCTTGGAAAGGTGCCTTGACTAATGAGTAAGGTCTCTCCAACCACCCTGTAACCTCCAGAGTGGTCACAATCTTGGCATTTGCACCGTCGTTATTCGGCATGTGCCATAAACCTTAAATAAGACACGGACACGTTTTATACTGTTGGAGTATAAAGTCCACAGCTTTATTAATTATTAAATATATGAATAAATTAACATATTTAGGGTCATTGTCATAACTGACATTATGTTACTATCCCTCTGACAATGACCCACTTGAACAATAAATAACATCCAAATAACAATTGTAGTAAAGAGAAGTCTTAAGGGCAAAATTCAGGCAAAACTTGCCAAGCTGAGGCTAGCTGAGTTGGAGAATTTTTTTCGAGATTAGCTAAATTAGTCTCAATTTTGCCATTCAGTTTGCAATTCACAACAATTCGGAGTTTAGAGAGGTCTACATCGGAGGAGGAGGAGCACCCGGTACCTTTGCCTTCCCAGCGGTTCGGTGAGTCCAGTAGCGCTAGCGCTGGTGCCCTTGAGCAGCCTAGAGAGTTGTTGCGCTTGCTTAGGTCCTTAGTGGATAGGTTTCCACAGGAGGTTAGTAGGGACCCCATAGGGCTGGATAGTAGGGTCTCCCATGGGGTTAGGGATCTGCCTTTGCATTCTGAGGCGCAGGATCTAGGGGCTCAGGTTTCCTCGGGTCAGTCGACTACCGGGACCTTTCGAGGTTCCGTGGGATGCGGCCTGGCTCCTTTGGGGTTACATGTTCCGCTGGATACACAAGAGAAAATTTGGAGAGGTGAGTACGTCGATCTGCTGTCTTTGGTCTCTCCCGACAAGGATTCCGTGGACAGACCACGGCGGGGTGAAGTTCCGGAGGCGGATAAGGGTAAGCATATCCCCAGGACCTTTGGCAACTGGTTGCAAGGTTTTAATGTGTTTTCTAGTATCCTGGTGCGCCGTTTCCCAGACAAGGCCCCTTCACTTTTTGGTTATCTAGATCTCATATGGGGCACTTATAAGATCTACGGGGGACAATGCTGGTATAAGTATGACCAACAATTTAGTCAGAAAATGGCGGTGGTTCCAGGTATGGATTTCGGGGTTCAAGATGGTAGTTTATGGCTCTTAATCATGACTACCAGTAGACCGTCTCCCTTTACCGTGCCTGCCGGAGGAACCTCCGGCTCTTCTGCAGGGCAAAGGAAAGGGGTATGTTGGCTTTTTAACGAAAGCCACTGTCGCTGGTTCAGCTCCTGTAGGTTTCGCCATGAATGCGCACACTGCGGGGGAGCGCACCCAGCTGTGCGCTGCTTCAGAAAGGGAAAATCCGGTGTCCAGTAAGGGTATCATAGACAGCGCGATGCTCAGACACTGTTTGACGGGTTTCAGGTAGGTTTCTGGATCCCCTTTGTTCCCTCTTCCTTGCCTCAGTTTGCGGACAATCTTCGCTCAGTTTTGGGCAAGGAAGGGATTTTGGAAGACAAGTTGCAGGTTGAGTTGCAGGCGGGACGCATGGCAGGCCCATTTCCTGCTCCACCTTTTCCTAATTTACGTATCTCTCCTCTGGGCTTGGTTCCCAAGAAGGAACCGGGGTCCTTCCGATTGATCCAGCATCTGTCCTATCCGTCAGGTGGGTCGGTAAACGATGCTATTGGGAAAGACATTTGTCGCGTGCAATACGCGTCTTTTGACAGGGCCTTGGAGTTAGTGCGTGGTGCCGGGCAAGGTGCTATGTTGGCAAAATCCGACATCGCATCAGCCTTTCGTCTTTTACCGGTTCACCCCTCCTGTTTTCATCTGTTAGGCTGTTCTTTTAAAGGGGACTTCTACTACGACATGTGTTTACCCATGGGCTGTTAAATTTCTTGTTTTTATTTTGAGATGTTTTCCTGTTTTTTGGAATGGGTGATGACACAGGAGGCGGGTTTGGCATCGGCTACTCATTACCTGGATGATTTTCTTTTCGTCGGAACTCCGGGATCAGGTGAGTGTGAGCGGCTTTTACAAACGTTTAGGGCGGTCACGGGATATTTTGGAGTCCCTGTCGCGGAGGCCAAGACGGTGGGCCCCATTCAGGTTCTGTCCTTTCTGGGGATAGAGATTGACTCCCTCGGTATGGTTTTCCGATTGCCTGAAGAAAAATTGTCTGTTCTTTTGCGACTGATTGATCTGGTTCGCGGGGCAAAAAAGGTGCAGTTGCGTCAGATGCAGGTGCTTTTGGGGCACTTGGCCTTCGCATGCAGAGTACTTCCCATGGGGCGGGCATTCTGCAGGCGCCTCTCGCTGGCGACGGTGGGAGTCTGGAAACCTTTTCATTTTATCCGGGTCACACGGCGTTTGCGGGCCGACCTTCAGGTGTAGAGCTCCTTTTTGGAGCGCTCCAATGGTCGCTCCTGATGGCTGTTGGAGGCGGCGTCTAATGCCGAGTTGAATCTCTTCACGGACGCATCTAGCACCGTGGGTTTTGGGGCATACTTCCAGGGACAATGGTGTGCGGAGGAGTGGCCTGCGAAGTGGCTGGGCTTGGCTGTGATGCGGAATCTGGCGTTCTTAGAGCTGTTTCCCATCGTGGTCTCCTTGGAACTTTGGGGTGAGGCTCTTGGCAACAGGACAGTGGCTTTTCACACGGACAACATGAGCGTGGTCCATGTGATAAACCGCTCTTCCTCCAGTTCCCCTCCGGTTCTTGCGCTGCTGTGCCGGTTGGTTCTCCTTTCTTTAAGGTATAATATTTGGGTTAAAGCATGTCATGTCCCGGGGGTTCATAACGTGGTTGCTGACTCTCTTTCTCGTTTTCAGTGGGACTGTTTTCGGGAGTCTGCGCCATCGGCGGATGCAGTGGGAGTCAGATGTCCGGTTTCCTTATGGGAGATCGATTTGGAGGATTGAGAAGTTTGGTTGCGGACTCCTTATCTTCCTCTTCATGGAAGGCTTACCTGACCGTCTGGCGGTCCTGGCTGTCCTTTTTTTCGGAGGGCATCGTGCTGGGGTCGGAGTCCGGGCGCTTGGAGGCAACGCTAATGATGCTAGAGTTGATGTTTGTGCAGGGTAAGTCATGTTCTGCGGCCGAAAAGGCTTTGTCCGCTCTGTCTTTCCTGTGTCGCTTTATGGGCTGGCAAGACGTTTCCCGGTGGTTTGGTATTCAGCAAGTTATCCATGGTTGGAGACTTCGGAGCGGCCCAGACCAACGGCGCCGGTGTCGGGCGAGTTGCTGAGACGGATTCAGGCGGCCCTTGGGACCAGGGCCGGTGCAAAGAATTTTGGGTACATAGGCGAAGATGCATTTTTCCGCCCCCCCAAAAACATATTCGCCCATGTGCCTCTTAACCTCCCTTTTGTGTTTCTTATCCCGTCTTTTGAATATCTGACTCCCTTTAGTGTATTTTATCTCCTATTTTTGCCTTTGTGTGTCTCCTATCTCTCCTCTTTGTATGACTCTTACATCCTCCCACATTTTGTGTCTTACTCCTCCCAGCCCCTTTGTGTGTCTCTTTCCTTCTCAAGCCCCGCTGTGTGTTCTTTTACATCCAGCCCCTCTCCCTGTCCCTTAATGGTCCCCTCCCTTCTCTGACCCTTACTGTTCCTCTTCCCTCTCTCCTCCTTTCCCTGTTCCTCAGTGTTCCTTTCCCTTCCCCCCTCCTTTCCCTGTCCCTTAGTGTTCCTCTCCCCTCCCCCTCTGTTCCCTGTCGCTTAGTGTTCCTCTCCCCCCCTCCCTCCTTTTCCTGTACCTTAGGGTATCTCTCCCTGTCCCTTGGTGCGCCACCCACCCCCATAGTGGTCCCCTCCCCTTCCTGGTGTGCCTCCTACCTTTCTTGTAGCGTGGCTGAGCGGGAGCGAATCCCGGTACAGTGAGCTTTTCCTGACAGTCCTGCTAGGTACAGGAAACAGAAGTTCCTGTACCATGGTACACTCCGCTTGGCCACGCTACAGTCAGGGGTGTAGAAACACTGACAGTCACACACACTCAATGACAAACACACAGACATCTCTGACAGCCAGACTCACTTATCTGACACACTCATTCATTGACAGACACTCACACGCACACTGACAGACACACAAACACTGACAGACTCACTGACAAACACACACTGACACACACACACACAAACTCACAGACACTGACAGACACACGTACGCACATGCACACACGCACATACTGACAGACACTCACTCACACATATACACTGACAGAACCACACACACACACACACATATTCACATGCACACACACACACACACACTGACAGACACACTCACACACACACTCACTCACACACTCACTCACACACTGACAGACACACATACACACACACACTGACAGACA